CTTGTTCATGACTTCCAGACCAGTGTACAAATTTAGATTATTGTTCACTGCTGCTTCTCACAAATTTTCAACTTTTACTGAACGTGTGCTTCAAATAAAATAATGTTAGACAAGTTGTTTCTATGCTGTATGATATCTATTTTTGTCTTATTGGATGATTTTCCTTATTTGGAACAAAATAGCCCTGAGAACAGTAAAACAGGATTAGCTTTCCTTTAATTATGTCACACATGAAGACATCATCAGTGAAAATTAAAAGGCCGCTGGCAGCACTGCTGGTGTCTCAGCTGAGGGTGAAGATTTTGATGAAGACATGCACAGTGCTCACTGGTGGAAATAGACACATTAATTACTGTAAACTTCTTAGTAAGGATTGATTGATTACCTTCACAAATGCACTTCTTTAATTTTGGCATGATTATCTTTAGAATTGTGAAATCCTGTCTTTTCTGTTCCTGTGTAGCCATATGTAAAAGGTACTGTTTCACAAGTTTTGTTTAATGAGAATAAACAAGAAATGAAATGTACTAATGGTAGATTTACTATCTGTCCACTCAGGGCCAGCCCTTGGCTTAGGCGAACTAGGCGATTGCCTAGGGCCCCAAGGCCACCAGGGTCCCCCTCGATGTGCAGCACAACATATTTGATTAATTGTATTAATCTTTCATTAACCATAACATGTCATTAAACATTACAAGTGACCTTTTACTTGCATTGCAAATGATGTTGTAATGGTTTAAAATTCGAATCAAGTAGGTGGCACTGGTAAACGCACACCATTCTCCAAAAGGACATACCTCCTGGGCGCTGAGAAAATGAAGAGCAGAAAAGATTAATATTTCACACTTTTACTTTAAAATGTGTGTTATTTTTGTAAAATATGTGCTTTTTGTGTTTGTATGTATGTTAATTAATATGCATTCTTCAAGGATGGGCAATAATAGCTTTCTATTTACGTAATCAATTAATTTGATTGTTCTAAGTAATAAAATAAAGTTGTGATGGAAGCTGATAATAGTAGTGTCTGTGCAAATCGTGATCTGGAGGGGCCCCTTTCCAAGATCTTTCCTAGGGCCCCCAAAATTCTAGGGTCAGCTCTGACTTTGTTTGTACTGCTACAAACAACCCATAGTTGTTTACAGGTGTTTCATTCTAAAAATTGTGCTCAAGGATAATAACATTTTATAATAGATTATAATAGATTATTGAATGCATTCATCTCGCTCTTTCTCAAAACAAAATTTTATAATTATTTTAATAACTAAACTAATTTCACTTTAAGTTTATATGAGTGAAATGAATGTTTTGATAATAGCCCTTCATAAGCCCATAGGAACATTTTGAAGGATTATAATAATAAAACTTTATATAATGCTTTTGAAAGTAGTTTCTCAAAGCACTTTACAGTAGGAAGAAAGAGTTAACAAGAAAAGGAGATAACAATATTAGCACAATTAAAAACAAGGCTTTAGAATGCAGTAGAAGGTGCAAAAAGAAGACATGCTGGTTAAATCAAAACCTTTCTGAACAAGAATAGGCCAAGTCATTTTTATTTTCTAGTATTGTACAGTGTTACACTTTACATCTTTCAACTTGTCTTTGTAATTATTTTGCTCTTCTGTGCATTTGTACTTATGTTTCTTTGAATATGGATTAGATGTGTTTCCTTCCTGGTTTCACTTGGTTGGATGGAACTGAAATGAAAGAAAACATTTTGCTCTGTGCTTTTCCTAAGGTTTGTTTCTCTTATTGTTGGTAATTTCTATTTTAAATATAAAAGCATTTACATAAATGTCTGAATAAATTCTGGAATGATGATCTTCTTCTCATTTCATTTCTGAGACTATTTGGGACTGATGATTATCTTTTATACAATGTGCAATCTTCTCTTAGAGAAAGATTGCACTCTCCTGTCAAGCCTGTCCAATAACACTATGAAGAACAACACATTTTTTAAAAACCTATCATTTGTGTTTCTCATTTAAGCAATTTAGATTTGCTCTGGCTGTGTGTTTAGAGTTGTTATGACTGTGTTGACTGAACAAGCCCTTCACTATAAGTCATCTTTATAAGAGTATTACCTTACACCAAAGAGAGCAATTTGTAAAACAGCTACAAAAATATGATTTTGCATTTTCTTTTAAGCATTATAATTATCCATACAACTGAATGTTTTGATTGATTGTTGATTCTTTATTGGAAAAGTTCCTGCAATTTTTGCCATTAAGTATGTGTATGTATACATTTGTATACACAGGTTTTTAGATTTATTCAGCAGACTAGTTCACAGAACAACTGTAATTATTATGGGCTCTGCTTACAAATTATTTTAGGCAAACTGGTAAAACACTGACATGTGAAACAAAAGTAAACTGCACATTATACAAAGTACAGTATTATATAATCATGGAACAAGTAAAGGTTTATTCCATGATGAAAATAAAAGAGACAGAACATTTCGGCTGTGGAAACCTTCTTCATGTGTTTCTTTCCAGCCTCCGCATGCTGATGCAGCTACACTGTACCTACTTGAACTTTATTACATAAGCATGGCAAAGAAAATGAACTTTAATACTGAGCAATGTATTTTCACTATATAAAGGTCTCTCAGAAGGTCCAAGGTTATTTTTTAATACCTAAAACAGATAACGATAAGGACATTTACATTATTTTGTATAAAATGCTCAAAATGTTTTCACTGTGCAGAAAACTTTTTGGTATTTACCTGCTTATCTACCATACTTTCAAGAGATTAAACAACTACTTTTCTTTCCCAAACTATTATATAAAATATATGTACAGTATTATGTATTAAAATGTTTTTCTACCATAACAAAGTACATTCTTGAATTCCAGAAGACCTGTTAGTGACCTCCATTTTTTTTTTAAATGCTGATATCAAGGAATGCCTATTATATAAATACTGCACATGAGAATGTTTTCTCTAAAGGTTATAAAATAAATGATCTGTCAGAATCTAGTAGGTTATTGTGCAAAGATGATCATTAGTTCTCCTGAAAGGTTAACTTTTTTCAGAGTAAAAAAACAAAAGTCCAGATAGTGTAAGATAAGCACCTCTTAAAGTATTTATAAATACTGAAGTAAAATTAAAAACATTATCAGAAACCACCACTAATTATAGCTTAAAAATGAATAAATAACCTCTTAAACAGTACACATCTTCCATAAAGGGCAAAAGTGTATCTAAATCTAATGAAGGATTATGAGCTCTAGTTTATAACAATATTTCATTCATGCACTTTAGTAGTGTTTTAAAGTTTATTTTTTTTTTTTGGTTTTTCTATGTTTTCTATTCATCATGAAAATAGAGTTTGATTATTTTTGAGAAATTGAGGCATGGTGGCACAGTGGTTAGCATTAGTGTCTTGTAGCACTGGGACTCTGATGATTTCCCATCTGATTTGCTATCTGTGTGGGATTTATATATTCTTTCCATGTTCATGCTTGTTTCCTCCCACAGTCCAAATACATAATGGTAGGTTCATTGGTTTCTGGGAAAATTGGTCCTGGTGAGTGTGTGTGCATTTGTGTCTTTGTGTGTCCTGCGATATACTGTATATTGGCGTCCCATCCAGTGTGTATCCTGCTTTCAGCCCATTGCTTGCCCAGGTCACCCATGACCCTGTATTGGATAAAGTTAGAAAATGTTTGGATGTATATATACTGTATATAATGTTTGCAGGGCAATCTTCAAAACCAAAAATTCTGGACAATGCAGCTGGGCCCTAATATTTTCTACATGCAACTACACAGCCTTTACCAACCACTCATCTTCAAGTTCTGTGAAGATTGTTACTCACATTTAGAGTTCTATGCTATAAGCTTTGTACTACTACAGTATGCTCTCTATTAGGGTTGAACAGGTTATATTGACTTTTTGGAAACATAATTTCACTCATGCAAATACATTTTACTGCACTCATGCAAATACTTATTATTCACTTTTCTAAATCCAGCTTCAGAACATGAAAAAAGTGCTCAGGCAAACAGGAAAACGAACCAATGAAAGACAAACTATGGCAAGAGTTAAATTAGCAATACTAAAAAATACTATCTATTTTTGATCTTTAAGTTGGTAATATCACTGGATGAGTGGATTGATTTAATTTTCAAAGAAATTTAACAAAAATATTTATTGTGAACTGAAACACTTGTTTCTGATGCAGTGCAGAGTATGAATTGAATATGATCAATTAAACTGATGCCTGAAATCTATTACATAAATACAGTAGTTTATTGAATTGTTTTGGTTTTGTATTGTTAACCATAAGTGGATTATGTTAGCAAAATTGTAGAATATGTACTTAAAAGTGTAAAACAATTATTATTACAAAAGTGTGGATTATGCAATCAGAATGTCTGCCTGGCACTCTCCTTGTTTTCAAAACTACACAGTCTCTTAATTTAGCTGTGGACTCTGTGATATAATCAACACGAAGATCAAATTATGACATTTCAAGAATATTTTAAAAAATAGTTTTTATGGACAGGCACAAATCCTTTAAAAACATTATTTTTTGACAGTATTTTAATTGCTTTAAGTGTGCTGAAAATGTGTGTAAATTCTGTAGTTTTATTATTAGAACTGGTCCATTTTCCTGTGTTTAATCATATCAGTAATAAAACTGATATGATTCTCTGGTTTCTCAACCTGTAGACTAATGCTATGCCCCAATCGGACAATCAGCTCTTGGATCTGAATTAAACGCTCCGCATACAGTCTAGTTGTTTACTACGCCACCGGCCTAACATAAAAGGGTTTTGAAAAGGCACATTTTGTGACATGGTTTAGGATTAAATCAGCACAACTGTGCAAAGATAATCAACAGACGATACAGACACGAAGATGCATTACATTCTTGTTTAATTTACAAACAGTATTTAATAAGTTAAAATGCTTGTTTTTCAACAGTCTTTTGTACAGAGAATACAAGAAACAAACCAACTTTGGTCCAAAATGCATAGGAAATCTCACTTACCATGTCTGTGTTTTCTTGCTATTTTCTTGAAAATGACTGGTGGTGGATTAATTATTTTTTACATCCTGTTTTGCAATTTTTTTTTTCCTGGAGTAGACAGTGCTCATAACATTAAAAAAATAATAATGATAAATTAGAAAGCTGTCAAACAGTATATATCAAACTGTTGTAGTGGTTGATTTTCTGAGGATAGTCTTCTGTGGTTTAGGAGCAACTGGATGAGGCACAGATCCAGGGTTCACGGGAGGAAAACTATGACTGATACTTATACCTATCCCACCATTTTCAAAAGGAGGCAGAGGAGGTGGTGGTGGGAGACAGTGATGAGGTGGTTTTAATTTTGTGTGAAGGGGTTCAGTGTGTAAGTGAACATCCCTGTTTTTAATATCGTATCGCACATCACAGTCTGGGCAGTAACCATGATACTGCACTTTTTCACTGAATCGGACCCTCTCTCTCGTTGCCTGTGGGCATCTGTCTTTATCAGGCCTTAGCAGAAGCGGTGGTATGGGCACTTTCTCTGGGATGTTTTTGGAAATACAGCAAACATCTCCATTCGGCACCTTTTTTTGTATCCCTGGTAAAGCTAAGGCTCCATTCCGAAGAAGAGTTCCATTTGTCTTAAGAGGGTTCCCTGAAGGTAGAGTCTTATTCAAATCATCACATCTGACTGGAGTCAAGCGTGGTGGTGGAGGAGGGGGATTTGGTTTCTTTAACACCGTCAGGATAGCTGGTGGGGCTGGTAGAGCCTTGATGATTTGTCCTTCTGAGTGCAGCTTGACCTTTTCAATGCTGGAGGCAGTGGTTGTGGTTGTGCTACTGGAACTGCTGTTAAGCGTATCTGTCTTAGAACTGTCTGTCATTTCTTCCTCAAGCTGCAGGTCACAGGTAAGTGAGTCTATCTGGTGAACTACCTGCAAAGTACAGAGGAAAGTCATCAGTGATCAATCTGGAATGTTAAACCGTGTTTCTGAAAATTAGAGGAAATTATTTATTTTAAATAATGTTCATAAACCTCACTTAAAAATCTGCAACAAAAATCCCCCTTCCAATTCATATGGCTAGTTTTAATTTTTAAAAAAATACATTAACCTTTTGAAATACTGTAGAATAAAACAAGACCAAAACATACTGTACAAATAAGTGAGCTCACAAGAAAGGGAAAATTCTGAATTTTCTTTCCATGAAAACCATTTCTTAAAATGAATACAACCAATTAGGTATTAAAGTCTTCACCCTATTTTATAAAAAATGTTGTGGTTGCAGGTAGACTCAAACAAAAATATTAGCAAAAATTTGAGCCATCAAAGACAAATACAAGCTCACTAGTTAACATGGATTAGCTAGTGTGTTAAAATTTCAGAGAAAAAGAAAGAGTTGTTCCTGACATGTTCCATGTGCCATAAAAAAGTAACTCAGAGGGCACTCCTCTTTGATGATAGTGAATGTCATATGGAGAAGAGATGTAGTGATTTTCTAAATAATTGGATCACCCAGTAAGTGGGTAAAGCAGTTTCAATGAGCTGAATAAAGTATGAATGGCCGAGTAGAAGCAGAGGTACTTAAAATAAGAAAACCCAAGGGAAGAGTACGTTTTTTTCATATACTAAATACATCAAAGATGAGGAACTTATTCCAAATAATCGTGGAAAATGAGAAACTGATGAAAGGAAGTATGTTCATTTTTATAAGGGAGATCCTACCATGTAGTGTGCACTGTAAAAGATGATCTAGGAAAATATCTTTTACGTTCGTTCAGGGCCTAATGCATATTCTCTTTATATATCTTAAGGGGCATATCAATACCTAAATAACTAAAACCTGAGGACTGTGACTGAGTAGGTACAGTACATACTGTAGGCCAGAAGATAAATTGTCCTAGCAGTGGAAAGAACTATTTTGTCATCAGTATTTATTGTATATTCAGATAAACTAAAGTATTTGAAAGAGAAACAGTGTATCAGTAAAGTACAAAATATGCTGTTTAGAGTCCTCCACATCAATGGAAATATTGTTGGTATTTTGTCTAATGACCTACGCCAGTAGTTCAAACAAAAGAACATAATAGTCATAACAGCTGTGTGAGTACCTCTAACCAAAGTGAACTGACAGAATATCAATGATTTGGTCTGAGAATAATCATTGGTTTTATTGTACATGGTACAGATCATATTGATAAATGAAATGCAAATATGGGAAGAGGGTAGCAGTTGTTTTAATTCTGGTTCCTACAGACTCATTTCAAGAACAAAATGTGTCAATGCTATACAGTAGGTGCTCTTTACAAAATACAGATTACATCTATGATAAAGTGTTAATTTGGTTTGTGCCACAGGTGAATATTAAAGGTCTTATATTTACAATTACTTTAAATAATGTTAGAAACTATTATTGTTTGTTTCCTTCTCCTGAATTTGCTTTACCGTCATCCTCAAGAACACAAATAGATTAGTCTCCTTTTTAGTGTGAGTCTCCTTGTTATTGACATACAAATCTGTGTTGTATGTGTTAATGTTAGTATTTAAACATTTAAACAGTGTTTTCCTCATAAAATTATTAACATTTGAGGTGGAGCGGTGGCTCTGTGGTTAAGGATCTG